AACGAAGTAGCCATGATTTGCCTTGCGTCCAGGAAGAAGCTATAGGTTGGGTTAGGATTTGGGCAGAAGTCACCAAGCCCTCATTCCAGCCTACGTGTCCTCCCCTTTAATGCCCATGATCTGCTTGATCCTTTAAATGCTTCCTTGTCTTAACCTCAAGCACTTGGAGCAAGTCTGAGGGGTCCATGTGTAGGTCACTAACTGCCTCATCAAAACTGCTCCAAAAAAACATTTATTCCCTTTCTGGATTCTAAAAGAACTCTAATAATATCCAAATTGTTGTCTCAGAGAATTGGCTCTTTAATGATCACAGCTCCTCCTGTTTGCATGGTGCCCACAATCTGCCTGATCCTCCCAGCAGTTCTCAATCCACTGACCCCAAACAACTAGTAGAATTCACTTCTTTCATTCACTGTTGCCTAGCTAGGATGGGATGCCAAACTGCCACTTTTTGTTTCAGTGTAGACAGGGAATTGCCTGTAGAGAGGGGCTGAATTGTATGTGTGTTGTGTACACAAATGCAAACTTAACCTTGATGTCATCATCAAACTTAATAGTTCCCTGAATCTAGGGTGGAGCCAGGCAAGGGATTCCCTCCTTTATCCCCCAGGAAGGAGGTGTGAGAGGCCAGATGACCTGATTCCACAGCTGGGACCGTCCCACCCTTTCAGGCTTCCCTCCACCCTGCCCCCCTTGCCATATCTTCACCTCCCTACGTCGGCAGTGGGGAATACTGAATCTCCTCCTGTTCCCACGCTGGAGAGCTCACAGGATCCTGGGAGGCCTTTCTCCAAACCCAGCATCCTACCCCAACAGCCTGGTTTTACCATAAATGTTGCCGCCCCCTATCTTCCCTATTAGGTCTGCCAAGGCACAGAGCTATTTTTACCTCATTCTCTTCCCAGGCCTGCAGGCCTCTGGGAGGAGTAGCCTCTGCCTTCCTCCAGCATGGGAGTACCCCACCCGCTCGCCCCCACCTAGAACATCTGCTCCACAGCTCAGGGAAGTTCTGCTTCCCTGAGCCCCACCCTACTGCTGGAATCTTTTCCTTATCTCTCAGCTCCTCTCAGAATGGGGACCACTTTAGTTCTTAGTTATTTCCCCTGACATTTAGGGGCTCGAGGTGCTCAGCTTAAGCTATTCCTGTTACCTCAGCTCTCTGTTCCCCGCTGGCCCTGGGTTCGTACAGATGCAGTCAAAGCCACCCTGAGACACCCAATATACAGCCACAGATCCCTGCCAACTGCTGAGAGGGGGTAACAGAGGGATGCTACTGGCCTCTGCAAGGACGTCTTTCTCCCTCCATACCCATCCTCTCAGAATCTCCATCTTTAACATAGGAAGGTTTATGCCAACCAAGAATTTCCCCAAGTTCTACAGTCCAGGCTATTTAAAGTGAGAAGGGTCACCTATTCAGCCCTCCATGGCAACCCTCTACCTCTACCTAAAGCTGGCGGGCTCCCCTGTCTTGTTCTCTGTCCCTTGAAGCTCCTCAGTGCTATGTAGACCTCTTAAAAAATCACACACACACACACACCCATGCTGCTCCCTCCAAGCAGTTAGATGAAGTGGAAACAACTCTGAGCAAGCATTTTCCATCAGATAGTGCTGTTTGGGGAGAAGCAAAGCTTTTTAAAGGTCAAGTGCCTATTGGGAGGAGTCCCTGGGCAGGGGGGTAGGGGTGCCACTTCTGCCTCTGTCCTACCACCCCCTCCTCAGATAAGTGCCAGCTCACCCATCTCCCAGCTGCTCCAAACAGTGTCTCCAAACTGCTTGTCCCAATCTGCATCTTTCTTAGCTCCTTCTAGTGAGACCAACCCAAGGACCTCATGGCATCCCAGATGGTCACTCAGAAGCCAGGTGACCAGGCCCCAGAGTCCTCAGTGAAAACAAAGCTCCCTGACAGGGGTCTCCTCACTAGGGAGTGTGGGGAATCTAGTCTTCCTTTCCTTTCCACTCCCTTTGATAGAATTACTCCCCCCCCCCTGATCTCACCTCCTTGGGGTAGGAACATCAACCAGGCCCGCGGGAAGCGGAGAGGAGCTGAGCCTGGGCACATTCCCACCCAAGCAAAGATCACCAAACCCTCAGCGGAGGCCCACCTTAATGGGATTTAGGAGCGGGAGTGGAAGGGGCAGGTTTATTTGGGGTTAAGATACGGAAAAACTACATTTTCATCCTGACCGGAGGAATGGGGAGAGAGGTGCACTGGCAGCCGCCAGCGGCCTGGGCGGA